GGTCTGTTAAGCAAAGCCAGGGCAAGCAATGGAAATCTGTGGTTTTTTTTATGTTGACTGCCAGATGGAAAGAAAAGAGCGCATAGCAATGATTGACAGGGAAGATGGAGGCTCCCAGTTACCGATGAAAAAGTGTAGCCTTCTACATTTCATTTTATTTTTCACATATCACAAATACATATTTGTTAAACATAGGGGTAGGTAAACATAATATCACAAATCTTGCAAAATTACAGTTTTCATTTAAACATTTTGACACAGTCAAACTGACACAGACTCATAGATAGATGGATAGACTGTGTCAACTCAGCAGCTTGTTTAATTGTAAAAAGGGTTAACACGCTTACTCTGTATAAATATTTAGATCAAATAATGAAGCATTGAACTTCCTCCTTATGACATTCCAAGCAGAATGATGAGCTTTGGGTGCTGGATAATTTGATATTTGCTGTAAATATACAGGAACTAGATGCTCTGCAAATTTTGCAAGACAGTTAAGTTTATGTTTGAACTGACTTCGCTCATGAAAAAAGAATGTCACTTTTGGCTTCAAGACTGTGTTATCCCAGACTATCCACCAAGAACCATGCTGAGTTAGCAGAAATATAACGTCTCTGAAATTGCCTGAGAATGTACAATAAACGGATTTCCTCCCATTGATCTAAGCCTATTTCAGACTTCTTTGTGACAAATTTATCCATTTACTGATTTTATCAAGCATCAAAATGCTACTATCTGCTCCATGCAGGTTTTTGTGACATGATACCTTTGACAACATATATTCCCCAGATGAATGCTGCTGCATTGTAAGATGGCAATTCATTAGATGTGCTGAGGAAATAAATGTGAAGGAGAAGGTTGGGAGTCCAGGATTAGCTTAAAAGAACGGGGCACTCGGTAGTTCTGGTAACTACAGCAACTGTACCCTGGGTCACTAGCATGGAGGGCTGGAAAGGGGATTGAGGACTCCAGGCTTAAACTATTTTTCTGAAAAATGGACATTCCCTTGGGATGAAAAAGATGTCCCTGGAAGTGTTTGTTGGAAGTGACCGCTGGATAAGATTAGACAGTGATCAATACAATCATATCAAATGTCAGTTGATATCGGTATCAGTGGAGTCAGCGAGAAACAGAATCTGTGCCTCTTAGGCATGCACAGACCTTTGTGAATACTCCTTCATACTGTGCAGGTCATACTGATGAAGGTTGCAAAGATATATGAATGCACACCTCACCACCCCTGCAGTGTTGATCTGTCAAATACATTGTATGCTCCATATCAGTAGGGATGTCCATACAAAGATCTGTGGATTAGATAAGCAAGAAAAATTATATTTATTTACAATTGACCCCCAGCCCAAAATTTGCCAGACTTCCACTACCTGCAGGTTAACTATAAAGGAGCGTTATCCCTACACTACAAGTGACAATGTTTTGTCTCCAAACCTCCAAACCTAGTGAGCATGTGTGCATCGGTGAGCTTGTCTGTAGTAAGCATGTGTGCATCAGTGAGCTTTTCTGTACGAAACATATGTGTCTGTGAACTTGCCTGTGCTGACCATGTGTGTGACAGTGAGCTTGTCTTTAGTTAATTTGTGTGTGTCAGTGAGCTTGTCTGTAGTGAGCATGTGTGTGAGCGTGTCTGTAGTGAACACGTGTGTGTGTGAACTTGTCTGTAGTGAGCATGTGTGTCAGTGAGCTTTTCTGTAGGGAAAATGTGTGCGTAAATTAGCTTTTCCCTAGTTAGCATGTGTTTGTCAGTTAACTTTTCTGTAGGGAGCATGTGTGCGTCAATGAGCTTTTCTGTAGTGAGCATGTGTGTGTCAGTGAGCTTTTATGTAGGGAGCATTTGTGTGTCAGTGAACGTGTCTGTGGTGAGCATGTGTGTGACAGTGAGCTTGTCTTTAGCGAGTTTGTGTGTCAGTGAACCTGTCTGTAGTGAGCCTGTGTTTGCGCTTTTCTGTAGTGAGCATGTGTGTGCATGTATTTTGAGTAGATACATTGCCACTAATGGTCAGGAATAAACTTCCTTTGAGCCTGCTTATTAAGATATCCGTTGCTGTCTTTACCACAAGACCAAAGAGGCATCTGCTCAGTGTCCAAACATTTGCAAACATTTGGACGCTGAGCACTGAGTTTATAAAATGAAATGTTTATGAAATGTATCAAATGTTTTCACATCACCTAATTGTCGCAAGGTCTCATGTGATTTAGCTCCATCCAGCCCCACTCTATAATTGCTCTATTTGTGTAAGTTGCAGGACGAAATACAGATAGCAATTATTAGCCATGTAAATGTATTTATGATATATGAATATTGTAGACACTATATATATTGTTTGCACTCTGCATCCATTTTCAGTATATGTATTCACAAAGATTCCATCAGATTCTGTGTAAGCATTAGCGGGGTATATGACCATTTTTATGTATATTTTGTCACACACTGTAACAGGGTTATTAAGGCCAGAGTAGCTGAACTGAAAGTATAGCTGGCTTAGATCATTTTTCAAGTTCAGGTATTTAGACTTTAAATTTGAATTTCACTTTCGTAAATAATCCTGTATATGTTTCAGAAATGGTGTTTGTGATTCTACATTAACTCGTAAGAGTTATGAAAAGGTACCATACAATGTTTACCAATTCATACTTGGTCATAATTTTGAAAAGGATGAACAAATTTAAAAAAAAAAAAAAAATTTACATAATTTTACATTTTAGATTTCCTGAAACAGCAATCAAAAATGTAATCTATGTACAGTGCCAGAATGTCCCACAAGTAAGTGTTAATTTTACCTCATATTCCTTGTTCAGAGATGTCATGATCGAATTCTCCACTAGCCAAATAAAAAGAAAAAATACAAACCGTTGTTTTGTAGATATACGCCAATAAAAAAATGCATCTGTTTTCATATGGATATATATGAAAACTGCTTGCAAAACTTGCAGAACCCTTGCTGAAACCTTTGCAAACCCTCACCTTCAAACCCCTCCCAGACTTTCTGTGGCTGTCCAATCACAGAGTCCCCAATGCAGCTCAATGAGAAGTCTTTGAAGGCAAGTGCTTTGAGCAATTGCTGTCTCTTGAGTTTAGCTCCACTGAGCTAGCCAAACCAGAACATAACAGGACCTGTTGTCTGAATGAATGTTGGGGGGTCAGTGTAACAGGGTTAATTTATGAAAGTGTCAATTTCTATTGAAATCTATACTTTTTGTAAAATGAAAAAACATGACACACTCTTTTAACATAAAACACTTTAGCAAACTAGTGCTGTAAGGGTCTGGAGTGTCCCTATAATTGTGTTATTGTACCCATGGCTTCCGTAATTGCCTCTGGCTTCCACTGGTATGGATAGCCTTGTCCCTCTGTAGCCTCTGTTGATGTGGGCATAACCCAGCCTGCTACTCTTCTTATCATTGTAACCTCAGACCTTCTTCTTCTTCTCTTTCCTGACTACACTCCAGGATCACACTTGTTTCCTTCCTCTCTTGCTTCCAACCACAGCTCCTGCTACTTGACTACTCTTATGGATTGTCCCGTGCCTCTTTACAAAACTGGTAACAGATCTCAGCTCAAGATTCATGAGCATGCTCTTGGATCATGCTTTGGAACCATTACCTCATAAGTGAGAAGATGCCAGCGTCCATAGGAAAGCATTGAGAATGCTTTCCTGTTGACTGGCTGAATGCGTGCGCATGTGCATTTAGCCGATGACGGGGAAAGGAGGCGGTGAGTCCCCACCGCCGTGGGAGCCAGGCGGTGGAGAAAAGGTAAGTGTTTAACCAATTCCTCACCCTAGAGCCCGGGGGGAGGGGGACCCTGAGAGTGGGGCAGGGGCGGGGAGGACCTAGAGTGTGCCAGGAAAACGAGTATGTTTTCCTGGCACTATAGTGGTCCTTTAAGTACCCTAAATTAGTGGTGCGCTTGGAGTAATACTTAACAAAATTTTGTAAAGTATTATTCTAAGCTCAACACTAATTGTATTAAATGCTCCTATCAGTGTACTGAAAAATCTAAATCTAATATTTATATTATGTAAATATTTAGCAAAACCTTTATTGAACCATTTTTGCTCCCTGTTACTCTGATTAATTTTTTTTTTTTGTTACTGAACTTCTGCCAAGCCAAACTGACACATGGATAAAAAATTTTTTTTTTTATGCACTAAAGTGAGATTTATTAGGAATTTAAACTTCCTTTTAAATTAAAGGTCAGAAAAACTAAGCATGTAAAATTGGCCAAGTCAGCTATGCTTACAGTTTGGCAACTTTGGACTTAAATGGTAATTCTCACTTCAAATCACTAACCTGATCATGGTGCTTTAAGTTACCCTTTAAGAATTTGGGACTTGTTTATAGTTGTAAACAGACAAAAATAAATAACAAAAACAGGTTGCAAACCCACACACTCTTCAGAAAATATAGAAGCATAGAACGTGACGGCAGATAAGAACCATACGGCCCATCTAGTCTTTTTTTTTTTTTTTTTCATATATCTCAAAAAAGGCTTTATTCAAACATAAGCATTTCAGGGTATGCCCTGATCCGTGTACATTAGCAAGTATCAGTTGATTGAACAAGTAAAGAACAAATAACGGACTCGCAGGTCCCAACATTAAGTGTGCAGACAACACTCAAACAATGTTACTTAGTATTTCTATATGACATTTGGTCACGTTTAACACGTTAAGACATACATATGAGTGATCGGAATGCAGCTTGAATAGAGGGATATTCATAAGTTTGTGCCTTGCGTCTGTTTTATGTGATCCTCTAGTATTACCTTATCACCCTTAAGCCTCATTCTCTTTGGGGTAGTGAGGTCTATTGGTCCGTCGTCATATGTCAGATGTCGTTCAGGGACTTGTCTTACTCGTGTCGAATAGTTGCGTGATGAGGATGTTTGCGTACATTTTGACGTGCAAATGTGAGTGAGTGACACAATTGTGGGCAATCTCAGATTAAGGCGGGCTACGTTTATCATATAACTTATAATGAAGCTATTGTTGGGGAGTTTTAAAGAGAAGCTGAGTGTTAATTGAGGAAGAAGTAAGAGAAAAGGAGGGGGGGAAGAGGAGGGGAGAGCTGGGTGAGGGGGGATAGGGGAGTATGAAGGGAGAGGTGGTCCCGTCATCCGTGACCACGGCGTAGTATGTATCGGACCAGGCATCAGTCCCCGTCTGTGGGTGGTCCTGGGGCTCCTTGGGGTTGCGAACGGCCGTTGCTATCTGTGTTTCGGTCTGCTATGTAGAGTAGCCACGGGCGCCACCTCTCCAAATGCTTGTCTTCTAGTCCTCGTAGTGTAGCCTGTATTAATTCCGCTCTATATATTTCTTCCACCCGTTCCAACCATTGTCTTATCGTCGGGGTAATCGTTTGTTTCCAGTATAATGGAATTAGTGCCTTGGCTGCGTTGATTAGGTGTCTACGAATGTTTTTCCTGTATGTGCTTATGGGATCCGATGTTGAGTGTAGGAGGACTGCCTCTGCGTTGAGGTTTCCTTCCGTCCCTGTGAGATCCCTTATTTTCTGTAGAACTTCGTCCCAGAATGGCTTAATGAGCGAGCATTCCCACCATATGTGCAGTGGCGAACCACGTTCATCTCCGCATCTCCAGCATATGTCAGGTACATTCGGGAAGATCCTGTGTAGACTGTCGGGTGTTCTGTACCAGAATGAGAGAAGTTTATAGTTGGTTTCTTGATATTGGGAGCTCGATGAGCATTTATGGTGTAATATGAGGATCTTTTCCCATTGGGATGTGGTGAAAGATGTATTTAGCATGCGTTCCCAGCGTCTGCGGAATTGGTCGTTGTTAGTGAGGTGCCCCACGAGTACGTGTTGGTATAGCAGGGATATCGCTTTACCTAGAGTAGTCTTGTGATCGCAGAGCGTTTCGAACCATGTCAAGTCCCTGTGTAACTTTTCCTTGTCTGGAAGTGTCCGGTAATATGTTCTGAGTTGTATATAACGGAGGGTCTGTAGGCTAGTGGGTTGGTCATCCTCTATTAGGTCCCTCAGGGGGATCATATCTGCGTTAGTCAACACCTTATGTATGGGGTGTGATTCCCTCTCTCCCAGGAAGGACCATGCTGTCCGTGGTAGTCCTCCCCCTATCTGGGGGTTGTATTGTATCTGGATCATCGGGCTCGGTGCTGGAGAGACGTGAGTAGCTTTTCTGATATAGTCCCACGTTTTCAGTGTCTGTGCCACGGTAGAGGATGGTTCCAAATTCGTCTGCGGCATCTTCTTCGTATTCCACACTGATGTCAAGAAGGAGGGGCCTATATGTTGTTTGTCCAATTCGATCCATTGTTTATGTTCCGGTTGGGTATGCCATTCAAGGACGCGTTGTAGTACTGTCGCGTGGTGGTATTTGCGGAGGTCAGGGAGTGCCAATCCCCCCCATGCTCGGGGTAGGCAGAGGACTTCCTGTCGTAGTCTTGCCTGTTTCCCATGCCAGATGAACTTCACCATCGCGGAACGTAGTGACGCGAAATATGCCGTCGGTAAAGCTTGTGGAATCGTCTGGTATAAATATAACAGCCGTGGTAGAATATTCATCTTAAGTATTGCGATCCGGCCTAACCAGGAGATGTGTGGATATGTCCACGTTTTCAAATCTTGTTGGATTCGTTGTAGTAGTGGTAGGAAGTTTGTACGATACATGTCGTCCAGGTCTCTGGTTATTGCGATACCTAGATACCGCATATGGTTTGCGCACCATCTAAACGGAAATTGGTTCTTCAGTGTGGATGTTTGGGCCGTTGGGGTGGTAATGTTAAGCACTTCACATTTATTCATGTTCAGTTTGAATCCTGAGACCTCCCCGTAATCCGTGATCATAGTGACTAAGTGTGGCATTGTTGCCTCCGGTTCCGTGATAAAAAATAAGAGGTCATCTGCGTATGCTGCTACTTTGTGTGTTGTGTCCCCGCTTTTGAAGCCTTTGATTGTATCCGATGTGCGCACCGCTTCCAGAAACGGTTCGAGAGCTAGGGCGAAGAGCATGGGGGAGAGTGGGCATCCCTGTCTTGTCCCATTGTGGATCTGGAAGGAGTCGGTAAGCGCTCCGTTCACTCTCACCTTCGCATTGGGGCAGTGGTAGATCGCATCAATCCATTTCATCATGTTCTCTCCAAAGCCCATTTCCCGTAGCGTGGTCATAAGGAATGTCCAGTCAACCCGGTCAAATGCTTTTTCCGCATCCGTTGACAATAGAAGGAGCTTATCTGTTGATTTCTTTGCCAAGTGATGGATGGCCTGCACTCTAAGAGTGCTGTCCCTGGCTTCTCTCCCTGGGATGAACCCCGTCTGGTCTGGGTGGACCAATCTCGGAAGCATTTTCCCTATTCTGGTGGATAGTATTTTAGTGAGGAGTTTCACGTCCACATTTAGTAGTGATATCGGTCTATAGCTACTGCAGAGTTCGGGATCCTTCCCAGGTTTCGGGAGAACCGTTATAGTTGCCGCTAATGATTCGGGTCCGAGTCGGGCGCCGTCTATCAAAGCGTTAAATGAGTTGGTGAGTCTCGGGAGCAGTAGGGTTCGGAACTTTTTATAGTAGTCCAAGGTAAAGCCATCAGGACCTGGGGCCCGTCCCGTTTTGGCGGTCTTGAGTGCCCCTGCAACTTCTGCCTCCGTAATCGGTATATCCAGGGACTCCGATTCCCCTTGCTGCAACCTCGTCTTCATGTGTGATTCGATATAACTCCTTAATCTATCCCGTCTGAGTGTTACCTCCTCCGGTAGTGTGGGTCCCGGGATGTTGTATAACGAGGCGTAAAATGTGCGAAACTCGGATGCTATTTTGTCCGGGAATTGTGTGATCGTGCCATCTGATGTCCGTAGTTTATGTACCTGGGTCATGCCTTGGGGGCCTCTAAGCATTCTGGCCAGCAGTCGCCCTCCTTTGTTGGCGTGTTGGTAAAAGAAGGCCTTCGATCGTTGTATGGAGCTATAGTGTCGTTTCGTCATGTGTGTATGTAGAGATCTTCGAGCTTCCAATAATTCTTTATACGTCCCCTCGAGTTGTGAACGTTTATGTTGCAGTTCAAGCGTAGTTATGCGCGTTAGCAGGTCTGTTATATGTTTCCGAGATTCTCTCTTCTTCTGAGAAGCTAGGCGCATCAGTGTCCCTCTGAGCACACTTTTGTGCGCTTCCCATATCGTGGTCGCGGGAAGATCACCTGTCTCATTCAGTGTGAAATAGGAGGTGAGTTCCTCGGAAACCTTTTCCTTCACTGATGGGTCCAAGAGTAATGAGTCCTGGAGTCGCCACAACCTAGTGGTTGGGCGTACCCTAGGGGAGTCCATTTGCAGGGTCACAGGACCATGATCCGACCAGCTTGCTGTTCCGATTTCTGCTGTTTGGATAGCGTCAAGATGTTCCTGTTGAAGGAAAATGTAGTCAATCCTTGCGTATCGCTTATGTATCACCGAGTAGTGAGTGTATTCCCTGTCTGCCGGGTGCATCGCTCGCCAGCAATCCACCAGCCTAAGGTTCTTTAGTGTTTTTTGAATGCTTCGGATGGCTCCTTGGGTGATGCTGCTATGTCCCGTGGATGAATCTATGAGAGGGATGAGGGGAACATTAATATCTCCTCCAACGATTAACGTGCCCTCCGTGAATGAGGAGAGGTTGGAGAGAGATTTACGTATGAAGTGTGATTGGTTGTTGTTTGGTGCGTATATCGTCGCGAGGGTGTACCTACGGTTTTGTATGTCTCCCTTAATGAACAGGTATCTGCCATTAGGGTCAACCAGTCGCTCCACTTCCTGGAACTGTAGTTGAGCATGGGTGAGAACTGCTACACCAGCCTTACGTGCAGTCGGGTGGTTGCTGAGAGCCGCAGTGGGGTAGTGTTTGCTCTTCAACGGCGGAGCATGTCCTTCCTTAAAGTGTGTTTCCTGTAGGAAAGCAATCGATACGCGCTTAGAGGTAAGCTCTCGGAGAAGGTGCGATCTGCGCTCCGGGATATTTAGGCCCCTGCAGTTCATGGTTGTGATGCATAGAGGGTCAGGTTCGTAGGCCATTTGCGATTGGTGGGGGTGGTTCGCCATGTCCTTTAACTTTTTGTTTACTCTTCTAGTCGGTGCCTGGTGTCGGGTGCTGCCCCGTCTCTTTTAGGAAATGCCATGGGCACGGAGGTGGCGGGGTGACGGTAGTGGAGAAGTTGGGGTGGGGGGTTGGATCAGAGTCGTATGGGGAGGGATGAGGTAGGGTGGAGTTTGAGAAAAGATGTAGAGAGTCCCCTAGGCGGGGGTATGAAGGTAGAGGTAGGTTAGCCATCCCCAGAGGGGGACAGTACGGCACCTAGAGGTAGGTGTCAGAAATCCCTCCTGTGAGGGTTGGTTCGCGTGACCACGGTAGCAGTCAGTAGTCGGGTCTGTCAGAGAATATCTAACGACCTCCAACTATCGACTCTCCGTGGTTCGAATTTGTTCACGCGGACTTGGCGGGGGTTAGTGGTCTAGTCTTTGCGCGTTCCCACCACGTACGGTGTATCTACTGTTTGTCGTTACAGGTATATAAGTCCGAGATTACCCAGTGGGTGTGCCACCAGTGTGGGAGCATTTGAGTGTCGTTAGCGTTAGTGTGAGTAATGGGTCTAGTCTGGTGGTATCAGCAGTTATTAGTATTGTCGCTTTTCGTATCCTTGGTTGATGTAGTGCTATCGAGTGGTGGAGTGTTTTTAGGCTGTATGGTCGGTGCCAGGGTCAGGGTCTATATCGGGTCGGGGCAAATTCCTGTGTCTGGGGTAGGGCAGAGTCCTGGTGTGGCATGACTGTCACGTAATGTGCGGGATGTTTGGTTCGCTCTGGGGATAAGTGGTGTCATCTCCCCCAATTTCAATGAGATAGCTGTCCCGGTCAATATTGTGGTGAACAATTCAAAATGTGCATCATATCTCACAGTACATTCCCTCCCCACCCAAACCGCAGAACAAAACATATATACATCAGTTGCAGCATTGGATCCCCTTCGTGTACCTCCTAGTTCCCATCTTCCTCTTGCAGCACCCTCGTCTCATGTTGGTGTACCTGTGTGTGACCGTATCTAGGCCTGGGGGGGACGGGGTGATATCGTGTATAGCGGTTCCTACCTAGATCTGCTGTGGTCATGAACTATCTGCATCAGGTGTCCTACGCTAAGGGATTCTAAATTCCACCCTCCCATTCTCCCGTATCCTCCCCCACTCCACCAGTTTGAACTGTTGGCCTAGGAATACAACAATCAGTGTCTCGCTGGATCTAAACTACCCCCCATGCAGCCCAATACAGTCCCACAAATCCCTCCCCCCTGTCTGCACCCAGCGTAGGTCCGCGACATGCAGCCAGCCCAGCGTTCATCATTCCCCCCTGAACCTGTTAGCACGAGTCCTCCAGAGTGTCGTGTCTCTGCCAGTGCAGGTATCCAGTTCTGGATCATATTCTTTTGTCGGTTCCTTGTAGGTGCGGTGGCAAGTCCAGCCAAGGGATCCGACTCGTGATTCTTCAGCTTCCCTGGGTTCCCAATGTGGCTATCACATGCCTTCCCCCCCTCCCAAGAGAGTCTCGTGATAGTGCCAACCCCGTGTGCCACAGGCTATGGAAAGGTGGGTATAAAGTGGGGAGTATCTTGGCCGGTGGGGCCTAGTAGAACTGGTACCAACAGTTCCATCTCCTGTGGTCAAGAGCCTGTTATGTCCCTCCTAGTCCCCATCTAGATTGTGTGGGTCGCTGGGTGTGCGCACACCAGAGGTAGCGTGCGGAGTTGGCTCCTTGGGTCAGTGGGTTGTGGGTAATGAGTTCTGTCTGCGGGGCGTCGGTTGCGTCTACATCTTTTCAGGTAACCTGATCATAGGTGTCACAGAGAGACGAGCCCGGTGCCATCGGTGCTTGGCTATTCTTCTGGGTTAGATGGGTGTGAAGGTGCTTCGTGTATGCGGTTTTCCCTTGGGCCTCTCCGTGAGTGCCTTGGTTGTCTTTGTGGTCTGGGTTCTCGGTCCAGTGGTTCCAGGATCCAGTCTGGGATAGCTATGGGCGGGAGGTCCAGCCGTTGGAGAAAGCGTGGTATTTCGTCCGGCCAGCGCGCCACGACCCATTCGTTTTGGTGTCTCACTTGGATGCTAAATGGGAAGCCCCATTTGTACGGGATATTGCGTTCCCTTAGTGCTGTAGTGATAGGTCTAAGAGCGCGTCTAGCCTCCAACGTGGTAGGGGAGAGGTCATTATAGAGGGAGACTTCCGTTTCTTGATAACGCCACGTGGGTCGAGCCCTAGCCCGTTGCATTATGCGATCTTTAAGGGGAAATGAGTGCAAGCAGCATATAATGTCTCTGGGGTCCCCATCTCTGATTCTGGGTCTCAGTGCCCTATGTGCACGCTCAAAGCGTATATTTGGTGGTGCGTCAGGTCCCAGGATTTGGAGGAAGAGCGCGGTGAGCAGCTCTTCTACATTTTCCTGCCCCTCACCCTCTGGAACCCCTCTTACCCGGATGTTTGAGCGGCGGCTCCGGTTATCTAGGCCCTCTATTTGCCTGCGCTGGGCCAGCAGCATGTTGCCCTGCCTTGTCAAGGCTGTGTCAGCAGCAGTTGCACGGCGTTGTGATTCTAGGGCCTGTGTTTCCAGCATTTGGATGCGTCCATCTTGTGCCTCCATATCTGTGCGCAGTGCTGAGACTGCTGACGTGAGGGAGGCCGTGAGGGTGGCTGTGAGGGACTGCAGGTCGGCTTTGGTTACCATATTGGCTGCCAGTCGTCTGATTTCAGCTCCTATGTCAGCCAGAGTAGGCTGGTCGGGTTCCGAGCAGGAGGAGGCTGGGGAGACGGGCGCCATCTTGGAGCCGTGTGCCTCGCGGCTCGGTCCCTGCGAGGTTTGCAGGAACCCGTCCATCGGTCCTGACGGCGGTGCCGGTGGAGCTGCCCTGGGGGTATGTTGGGGCTCTTGCCTTTTTGTGCGTCCCATTTAGGCAGGCTGGCGGTCGGTAAGTGGCTGATGGTAGCTAGGTGGCAGGGAGCTCGGGACTTACACGTCCATGTCTGTCGGACTTCAGGCCCACATGGATAAAATTTAGTCATTCCAAGTTTTTTTTTTCCTTTTTGGAAAACATTTTTTGGCTGAAACTAATTTTCTTGATGCGCACAAGTCTCATTATAATAAACTAATTCTTTCTTAGTAGCTCACCTTTTGTTGGCTTCCTCAATCCTACTTTACCGTATTGCAGTAGCCTACAGAAGGTGAAATACGTTTCTGGTTGATACAAGGACTGTATATTGGTATTTTATAGTAAATGTATTTTGTTTTTAAATATTATGATAAAGTGTTTTTTTAATACCATCACCCGAGTTCCTGTACTTCTCAAAGAAGGTGGTGTGGTCCTTAACCACACAAAGCTTCTGTACTGAGCCAGGATCTAGGCTTCATGCTTGTGAGTATAATTGCTACCCGGTATTGAGTGTTCTTCTTAAAGTAATATCACACTATTGCTACCTATTCCCTCTCTCCTGAGATACGCCACTAGAAAAAGGATCCACTTAAAGAATCAACACAAGAGAGGGGTAGGTCGCCTAAACGGACCTAAAGGCTACACACACCAGAGCTAAGTTTATTAGTTCTGGATCATGTGAGTGTTCCATATTTGGATTTCATGTTTGATCAAATGGATTAAGGTTTTTACACAATGTTATATTGATTTCCCTTCTCAGGTCTACTTGCTGGCACACTACAGACGTTTATTTCTGCCAGTTAAGTTATTACCCTTTTGATATTTTGCACTGAGCACATCTAAGCACATTGGTTGCACTTTACAAGTGTATAGCACTCCCCTGTTTTACATTAGATTTTAAAAAAAGTTATATTTAGTAGCTCTGAATTAACACACAATTATATCAGCTGAGGCTATAAACAAGTCACCGAGAGCAAAGGCAGGTATGTTCTACTAAGTTAGCTATGGTTACAATAACCATAATCCTCATCTTTAGCACAATCACTGCATACTGAGGAAATCTTGACTTGTCTGAGATTTGTCAGATGTTATTAAAATGCATTGCTGACCTTATTGTACCTATAAAGTCCAGTGAAGTGAAACCCATTTCATGAGTAGCCAATTCACAGTTAATGAATACACCCATTAGAGAATTATGGAAATAGTGGGGCTACATTTCACAGTCATTGACGGAAGAGGTTTGACTGAGGACAGGATTGATCTGGATAGCAGATAATTAACTAGCAGAATAAGAATATCATCACTATGTGACGAGGGTAACTAATTAAATCTTATTAAGCCTGCAATAGTAAATTATATTCCCAGAATAGGTTGCGACCTGGTGAGTAATGACACACATGGAACAGTTAATCACTAAGTTGTCCTTTGTCCTAAAATGAATAATACTGAACCAGCGGATTACAGCTTTTGGAAGTTCTACTCTCAGTCGTGGTACTGCTCTTTATTCCCTGTGGTGTGAGTTCATCACATGTGAACTACTGCAAAGTTCTCTTTAGTGCATTGCAATCAATAAGAAAATACCTCACTGTAGCACTACAGATATGTGGAGACTGTATTTTCCAAGATGCCCAGTCAGTCTTACTGGGATGTTATATGGGAAACATAATTCATAGTTGGGAAATATACATTTATTAATAAATAACAACAAAAATGTACTTGAAAGGTTTTTTATTTTGTTAACTGTTTGGAGGAAATAAAATCCTTATTTTGGGTATTGTGGTGTCGGTGAAAACATCCTTTTGGCGGGGTTATTGATTGTGATATAAGGCTATGTTTAGCTTTACGATGTACCTAGTAGCTAGCACTGCTAAGGGCACTAGAGAAAACTTTGAATGGGAGATAGCAGATAGACACTTGGTATTTTGTCATTTATCCTAGTGTAGCACAATTTTACCAATATACAACTATTACAATTTATTTATTTAATTATTTATATATGTATTTTTTGTTAACTTTTTGGAGGAAGGAAAATCATTCTTTTGGGGACTGTGGTGTTAGGAAAAAAATATTTTTTGCCTAGTCTGGGTCATTGATCCAAGAGACTAGGATTAGCTTTGTGCTGTATCTTACTGC